TGAATTTTTATTTTTTAACATATAAGATCATGTCGTATGCAAATGGTTAATTTTACTTGTTCCTTTCCAATTTCAATGCCTCATTTCTTTTTCTTGCTTAATTGCTCTGGCAAGAACTTCCAATATTATGTTGAATGCAAGTGGAGAACTGGGTATTCTTCACTTGTTCCTGATCATTCTTGACATTTCCCTTTTAGGGGAAAAGGTTTTAGTCACCATTGAGCATGATGTTAACTGGCTTTTTCATAATAACTTCCTTATGTTGAGGTAACTTCCTTTTATTCCTAGTTTGTTTAGTTTTATCATGAAAGAATGTTGAATTTTGTAAAATGCTTTTTCTGCATCAATTGAAATGATCATGTCCTTTTCACCCTTCGTTCTGTTAATGTAATGTATTATGTTGATTGATTTTCATGTTAAACCATCCTTGCATTTCAGGAATAAATCCCATTTGGTCTTGTTATATATCCCTTTTAATATGCTGCTGAATTCAGCTGACTAGTAGTTTGTTGAAGATTTTTATGCCAATGTTTATAAGGGATATTAGTCTTTTTTTTTTTTGGTAGTGTTTTTGTCTGGCTTTGGTATTGGTGATAACTCTGGCTTCATAGACTGAATTAGGAAGTGTTCTTTCCTCTTTCTGGAAATGTCTGAGAAGGACTGGTTTTAATTCTTTATTTTTTGAGACAGGATCTTGCTATGTTGCCCAGGCTGGAGTTCAGTGGTATGATCACAGCTCATTGCAGCCTTAACCTCCCAGGTTCAAGCAGTCCTCCTACTTTGTGCCCAAGTAGCCGGGACCACAGGCACGTGTCACCATGCCCAATTTTTTTTTTTTTTTTTTTTTTTTTTTTAATAAAGATGGGGTTTTGTTATGTTGTCCAGGCTAGTTTCAAACTCCTGGGCTCAAGTGATCCATCCACCTTAGCCTCCCAAAGAGCTGAGATTACAGGCATGAGCCACCATGTCTGGCTACTTTTTCCTTAAATGCTTAGTAGAATTCACCAACAAAGCCACGGTTCAGGGTTTTCTTTGTTGGAAAGTTTCTGATTACTCATTCTACCTCCCTGCTAATTAGAGGTCTGTTCAGATTTTCTATTGCTTCATGATTCAATACTGGTAGGTTTTGTGTACATTTGTTCATTGTACTCTTATAAACCTATTTCTGTATAATCAGTAGTAATATCTCCACTTTCATTTATGATTTCAGTAATTTGAGCCTTCTTCTTAGGCAGTCTAGCTAAAGGTTTGTCAATTCTGTTGCTCTTTTCAAAGAACCAGTTTTTCATTTCATTGATTTTTCTATTATTTTTCTATTCTCTATTTATCTCTGCTCCAGTCTTTATTATTTCCTTCCTCCTGCTAACTTTGAATTTTATTTGGTCTTCTTTTTCAAGTCCCTTAAGATCTAAAGTTACATTATTGATTTCTTCTTTTCTAAAACATATGCATTTACAGCTATACATTTCATTCAGTGCTGTGTTTGCTGCATCCCATAGTTTTGGTATGCTGTATTTTCGTTATGTCTCAAGATATTTTCAAATTCCCCTTGCACTTTCTTCTTTGATCCACTGGTTAAGTGCGTTGATTAATTCCCATATATTTGCAATTTTTTTCAGTTTGGGCAATTTCATTTTATATAGCTCCAGGAGAAGTCTTGTCGCCACTTCTTTTGTAAAGGCTGCTATACAAAACAACATTGAACAATTATTTCTGTTTTTGAACTGAACTCTGATATAATTTAATCTCAAAATGCTCTTGAGAACTGCCCAAACTCTGATATTCTCTCCAATATTTAGGCAGGTTATTAAAAAATCAACTCACTAGTTACTGGTGAAATACAGTAACTTTGTTGGTAGTACAGGATGGTACTAAACATATTGTGTCGCTGTGCTGGATCAGCTGTAGTTATTAGGTTGTTGCAAAAGTAATCGTGTTTTTTGAAATTAAAAGCAATGGCAAAAACTGCAATTACTTTTGCACCAACCTAATACTTGGGACTGGGATAACGGGATCACTTTTACTCCCATGGTCAAGGGTACCATAGATTAGTGAATGAAATCTTCCATTAGAAAAAATACATTTCCACACTAGCAATTCATCTTTCACTTTTCTGGAAGTTTCTGGAGAGATTATGGCCAAACAATTCATGTATCTGATTAGTGTGCACAAATGTAGGAAAGACAGGCAGAGTGGGGGCTTTGGAAACATAATCTTAGACATATGACATTAAAACTCATTAACAGTGAGTTTACTTTATTCTAACAAATTTGTGGGGCTCAGACACTTGAGGATTCTTGAGGATTCTTTTGCCTTCAAGGTCATTTTGCACTAGGAGTCAACTTTTCTCCCCTTTGAAATGTAGTGAATTGTAAGAAAAATCTGTAGCATGTGACAAAGAACCTGGCCCAAGGACAGTTTGCTTCTGAAACTAATTTCCTAACAAAACCCTAACAAACGGTGATGGTGACCATAGTAATTATGCAGCAAGCTGTAGCCCACAAAAACAAAACTCAAGTTCTAGCTCTAACATTTATGAACCCTTTCATGTCATAAAATGAGGTCACCTTCTCTTGCCTTGCTTACTTCACAGGGTTTTGTGAAGATTAAAGAATGTATGTCAAGCGTTAACTGTAAAATGCTGTTTGATTACAGGTGCCACATATGGATTAAATGTGCATTATATATCTATATACACACACATAGTAATACATAATCCATTACTATCCTAACTTATATTAGTAATACAGTATTACACTTCTGATATTCTTAGGTATTAGAAGAAAATAAAATTTACATGTCAGTCTCTGAAGCATCTGTGACTTTACTTACAAGCCCACAAGTTAGCCTGATTCCTGTTTCATTGGACACTGGGAGAAGACACAAGACTCCTGAGTCAGAGACAAAGGACTTCACTACGCATAGCATAGCAGTAGCCAAAGTGTCAGCATGGTCCCTTTGGCTCCCTTGTCTCTCAAATCCCATAGGGATGACTTGGAGAGGTCAAGACAGATGTTACATATGTAGTGGGTTTGCAACTCAACTGAGGACCACTGAGCTTGGCGTTTTTACTGCTTTACAGTAAACAGAAAAATAGACTTCTCTTATTTAGGGTGATATGCTACCTCATTACTTAACATTGCTTACTGCAAATACAATCCTGAGAAATGGCCTGGGAAACAGGAGTTAGGGCCTTGCACTCAGCATGCCCAGCAAAAAATGTCTGGATGGATGCTCAGAGACCATGGCACATCACCTCTCCCAACCTTTGGATGAGATAAAATTTGATGTCTATTTTGCGATTTTGCTAAAATATTAAATAGAAAATAATGGTAAAATTCAGTGACAATGCATCCAGAAAAGCAATTCACTTCCACTTCTGGAACATCTAGCTGGCTGTGAAGGCCCTGACCAACACTTTTTAAAACTTACAAACATTTCCTAAGACTTGCATATATTTTATGCAATTGAATTTATTATGATGTGACTTAGGAGTTATGGACGAGTCTTACAGTGCAGACATTCCCACTTTGATGTCAGGAATTTTATGTATCAGCAGCTCTAGTGCATGGCACACAGAATCACTCAAATGGTTTGTGAACATAGTCTAGTTTCCTGTCTTCCTATGTCTCAGCAGGAGATTCAAAATATCAGAGAAGATGAACATTATTAAAAGTTGTGGTGACCTCTTAATAGCACGATCATCTGAAGAGACTGAAGGCATTGCGCAGGGTCAAGACTGTAATGACCTGCAATCAAAAAACCTTACAGACTTGAAGCTGAGTCCGTCGTTGAGTAGGCATATGGATCATACAGATGATACTTTGCTACCTTTAAATGTGGTGGGGATGGGATGGGGGTTGAAGTAAGTGAATTTAAATTCACTTTCTAGTGAGACTAGCATCTAATCCTGGTGGCAAAACTTGTTTGGACACACCACTACACTCTGATTCTAAAATCAACAGCTGTGAGGTAGAGATCTCAAACCAAGCATGAATGATCACCATTCTTTTTTGTTTCAAAGTGGTTTTATTACTTATGAAACTTGCCCATGATTAGTGTGATTGAAAATGCCACTTTAACTGCAGTTGTAAAGTTCCTATTGATTCCTTATTGGAGTAAGAGACAGAGTACAACTTTAAAAGACTTCACTATCCTCAGAACTTTCAAAAATCCCCAGAGTTTTATTCTCTCATAGGAGGCACACTCAAGAGCTTTTGTATGAAGAAAACAAATGGAACCCAGAATGAATTAGCCCCTTAGTAAAAGTTCCTGTTAGTCCCTTGCACGACAAACAAGAGTTCACATTAGTTTCTTGCACACTGCATTCTAGATAAGGGCAGCCTTTGAAGCTATGTGGCCAGCAAAATCAGCATGCCAGTGTTTCCACAGGATAATCAGAACATCACTGTGATGAGCTTTTCGTCCAAGGTCTGAGTGGAGGTGGCAGAAAAACTATTTTGATCTATGCTCTATCATTTCTAGACAATCCAAGGATAAAGCATGGACTATCTCCTGTAACTTACTCTTTGAACCTTATTATCTTATCCTATTCACTTCACCCCACTGAATTGCTTTTACAAAATTTATCTTGGAGGAGGGGCATTTGTCATCAGCAGGTTCAAAACCAACTTTCTGCACCTTGCTGTTGCAATGTCTAGCAAACTCCAGTTGAGGACATTACCTTAGGCTTCTGTCTTGTGAAGGCATAAGGAGACCTAGTGACCAAAAGGGGTCTGCTTTTCATGAGTGACTTTGTCCTCTTGTGAACAGTGAAAATCAGAATCATGGAATGTGTGATTTTCTTCTCCATGAATGACCTTGTATTGTTCTGAATTATTTTTCACCTTAAATCCATTAATTGAAAGTTATTACTTTATTTTAAAAATAGTCTTTGAAGAAAATATCCCTCTTGTGGTTTTAACAAGTACTCTAAAACTAGAACTCTTTTAAAAATGACACATTTTGTAAATGGAAAGAAACCGTAATAATTTTGAAAAGACTGTTGATATCATTGTGGTTTATTAGGTAAATACAAAGTATAGGCTCTTGCATTTTTAAAAAAGCAAAACCAAAGAGATTAGAAACCAAGTACACATATCCCCTTTAGAAGAGAAACATAAATCAGTTTCAACAGTTAGGCACTTAAAAATGTAAATGTAAGACAACATTTTAGAAGTATAAACTATAGTTACACTCCTAAATTCCTCCTGAAATGTTTACAAACACAAAATCACAAGCATGGAAAACAAATTTCCTCTTTATCAAAAAAGGAACCTGAATTTGAATCCAATGTGATAAACCAATGATTAAGGTACTGGTGGGTAGGAGAAAAGAGCTTCTGAAATTTACATACTTGATTAAAATGTAAGCATTTCATAAAACTATCACAATAGCATACAGTAGATATAATGAAAAATATATGTCAGGAAAATAATGAATTCTAGACTTAAAATTTTACTTTACAACAAGGCACTTAACACATTGAAACAGTACAGTAAATTTCCAAAAGAATGCAATTGGCTACCTCTGAAACCTTGTAATATTTCTTTTGTGAATATACGGTAACATAACCATACGTTTTGCAGCATTAATCATTGCATAGGAGGTAAATTAAATAATGAACTCCAACTTGGCAATTAGATTAGTTTTTGTTCATCATTTCCTCTTTTTCTTTTAAAGGACAGTTTTAAATAATTCCACAATAAAGCACTCTTCTCATTCATGATTTATTTAGAACATAGCATAGATTAATGAGTAAGAAAATAAATCAGAACTTATAAGGTGTGTATCTGTATAAAAACTTATCTTTGGGTACCATTGACATGATTTTCAGTGTTTGGGTGTTGAAGTCAAGAGCACTTCTTTATAGAAGAAATATTTTCAGCAACTGAGTCAAAGGCGTTAAATTATTGCAACACAAGGACATTAAAAACAAATACTAAAAATCTTTATATATATAAATAGAAAAGCCTTCAACACATGGCATATAACTTATAATATGCTTGATTTAAACATGTAAACTCATTAAGAAATTCCTTCTCACACTTCCTTACACTACAGAGGCTAGTGCATTAAGATTGGCTTAAAGTTTTAATCAGTTTTACAGTGCAGAACAAAAACAAAAAATAATTAGGAAAGAATGTTCAAACTATTTAAGGGGCAAGATATGAACTTTCAATGAAAAAAGAAACTGCATGAGTTCTGTCATGTAAAAAAAAACAAGACAACAAATTTGGTGTTTCAAAGTAAACAAAATATAGATCGTTATAAAGGGAGACACTAATGATTGTGATCATGAGAGGTAAAAATGTTCTACAAATTTCTTTGATCAAATGGATAAAAGGTTAGAATTACACGTGCCTATCATCTGAGCACATTTTACCTTTGGGAAAGGTTTAAAATGCTTTTAAAATAATTCCTTTCACATGATACTTTCAGATTATTGGCACACATAACAGAAAACAAATGCCTTTCAAAAACTTGAAAACAGGCTTTTAAAAGTGGTGTTTGCATTCCTAGTCATAAAGTATATTGCCACAAGGGGGCACTGGTAATACAGCAAAGAACCCTAATGCAATGTCATCCACAAACCAGAGTAGACTCAATGCTCACTCTCAAAACAGCCTTCCTTCCACAGCAAAACTTGTTTCCCAAGATGCCAGTAAGTTAAGTAACAAATTCACAATTAGTTCAAGTGGACTCGGGAAAGGATGCTTTATTTTCAGATCTAGTGGACGAGTTCAATGATAGGATCTGAGAGAACTTCATTTGAAATCATTTAGGAAAAAAATGTGGCATACTCTGTAGGAATTATATGTTATAGGTATTTCACAGACAACCTAAATTACAGGAAAAGCTTCAACAGGAGCACAGACTTAAAAACAAAAAAAGGGATAATAAGATATGTATCTTAACTGGCAAAGAATAGGTGCTCCAAACATTTATGATTTCAAAGGCAAGATCATACTTGTTTTATATCCCAAAGTGGCACACTGGGTTGAAGGTCAAGTTTTCTTTCCTATATGTAAATGGGTTTTACTATGTTTTTTTTTTACCATCCTGAAATTTTGATTCTCCCACCCTTATTTGCAAACCATGGACTTCCTCAACTGAATGACAGAGCTATACGACACATGCGTGTAAAGACATGGCAGTGGCAGTGGCCACATTGGCATCACAGGTGTTTTTAAAGTTCTTTAAAAGGTGATGGGGTTTTCTTTTAAATTAAAAAACTGGATTACTTGACTAAAATCCAAGGCTTACTGTTTCAGGGGGTCTGTAGTAATTGGTACACAATTTTTTTTTATTTATTGAGTTTAAACACTTTTTTTTATTCAATAGATGAAAGGTGGGTTATCCAGACACAGCTGAATAAGGTTGTAAGGTGTATCGATTTGTCTTATTTGAATTAGAGGCTCAAGGAAAACACCAGTGTTAGGAGAGTAAAATCCAGGCTTCTGTGTCAGATTATTTTCTTTATAATCAGTCAACAGGAACTTAAAAATCAGTGTTTTCAAGTAGAACACCTTGTTCTTGCACAAGTTTTGCTATTTAATAAATGAATATAAGTGAACATTATATAGAATTATGTCTAAACTCATCAGGTAAACTAGGCATATGTTTATTATTGGTGTATTTAATAAGAAATACTGGAAAATTCAGTGTGCTTCAAAGCCTGCCAAGAATGTTTGGGGTTTTAATTCTTGTTTAAAATAACTGAATTAAAGAGTCTTGCTTCATGACATTAAATTCAACTACCTTTCCTTTAGTGATTATTCTATGACACACAGAAAAAGCCATTCTGAAAACATACACAAGATTTTAGCACCGAAGAATGTTGACCCTTCTGAACGATTTGCATTGTGCTTTTCTCAAGCAATTTAAAGGTCAATTTTGTGCAGTCAAGGCTGACTAGTTTATAATGATAAATTTGAGAATGTTTTCCATTCCAAATGAAAGACAAATTTCACCTTCAATATAAACATAACTGCCTCCTTCTACCCGCATTGGCCTCTCCACCCTCTGCCCTAGTGTTGATAACTTTGCAACCTTAAAACTTTTCTAAGGTTTCTAAAAGTCTTGCAAATCAACCTTCAAAAGTAGTTAAGAAATTAAGCCAAGAATTATCCAAAAGATTCAATAGCATTAAATAATGCACTAAATCTGATAACATTAAATCTAATCAGATTTTTTTAATCCATTTTTTTGGCATCACCTTAAAGAAATTTAGAAACAGTTATCCCCCTTCACTGTGTAGCTGTAACTAACACACTGATTCCGAGAGTATATTATAGTGCAGCACCATGTTATTTTCACAGGGTAGAAGTAAAATTACTCAATTGTGGCATATGTCCTTAGGACTAGTTATGAGAAGCTGAGTCTCTTGCTAAAAGCAAGGACACATTTTTAGCAAGGATACATTAACTTTCAGGTTCCATCTTGGTTTTTCCATAAAGTACAATATAAAAAGGAAGAAATCACCTTCAATGAAATTTGACCAAATATATTTCTGTGCTCCAATTAGGGGCCCTAAAATTGATCTCACACCAGGGCCTGGCCTGGAAGGGAAACAGGCTCATTCCCCAAGTGGCGTGAGCCTCAGTTGACACACGTGTGTTTTCAGCCTATGCTAGAAGAGTTGACTGCCCTGGGGCACCAGATCCAAATTTACAGGGCAGACAGCATCTAAGTGTGTACTCAAGGGCCACTCATTAACAGAAACCACCTCATGTTTCCTGTGTGTCTGTCATAGAGATTTTAAAGTGAAACGTTTACACACATGTAAAATCTGTGGGGTGTGTCAAATACTTTCATGTTTACTTGGATCAGCTTTCCTTTTTAAGATAAAATGATCTTTTAAAAACAAAACAAAACAAAACAAATTAAAAGTGATACATAGCGCGTTGGGTGGCAGCAGCAGTGTGCACTCCTGGACTCAACCCTAACTTTCCACGTGACAGGGTAGAAACAAAATTCACCCAACGCTGACGCACAACCCGTGGATCTTCCCCTTGCTAAACCTAATGCTAGAAACCACTCTCAATATTAGGCTGTTCTATTTACACAGTGGCTGTAGATGTCCAGATATTTTATTTAAAATATTAACACATTCTTCTGACCTTGGGAGGAAAAATATCCTGAAAAAATTCTGAAGTAGAGGGTTTTGGTGGAGAAAGAATAAAGAAAGGAGGAATATGTTCTTTGGCACCTCTTTAACAAGCTCATTAGTAAAGTCCCAGGGTGGGGGCTTGTCACCAATGAATGAAGAGCTGCAAGAGAATGTATCTTTCTCGGGATGAAGAAGAAAAGCAGTCAAAGGGTAATACTTTGTTCATCTTTCTATTCATTTACACAAAATTTGGTCCATTTCTTCATTTACCAGTCAGTTCTCCTAAAATAAAAAACAAAACTATACCTTTGGTTACAGCGTTAACTCTTTTGGTGTAAGAGCTGATGCCTTTGTTTTGCTCCTCAGGTCGATTTCTCATTGTCTTCACCAATCTTCTGAACACGTGAATACTTTTTGCATGATGATTTGAAGCAGCCAGGAGGCCAAGACAGCGGCCAGGAGAAGCAGCAAGGAATTGAGCCTTGTACATTTTTCTCAAAAAAATAAAAGATGGGGAACCACCATGCTCGAGATAAGAAATTAGTCTGTGAAGACACCTTCAAGTTCTGCAAATGGTAGAAAAAAAGTAAAATGAGACATATCTTTCTCAATTTGCATCCTAATTATTTTCTTAAATTGGCATTCACTGTAACCTAAGGAAAACAGAATTCAGATCACATAGCAGTAATGATTTTCATGTCCTTTCCCTAACTCTACCATGACTCCAGTCCCCTAACACACCTAGGTGTCTTGCCTTCCTTTGTGGCTCATGCAATTTCTTCTGCCTGCAATTCCAGTAAGAATGGAGACTCTGGGAGTGGATGTCAGAATTACTCAGGAGGAATAATTTTCAGGATGTGTGAGTGATCAAATCTAGGGGTCAAAGAGTGAAAGAAGAGCTCAGAAGGTTGAACACATTTAAGAGGAAAGATGAAAATTTTGGTTCAGTGTTGTCAGCAGTCAACTAGATGGAAGTGTAAGAAGGAAGATGGAAATAGGAGACTACAAAATAGGAAACAGAGCTACAAAGAGAAATAAAGTAATCCATAGAAAGAGCATTTATTAGTGGACACCAAGAGTTGGATGTCGATCCTTTGGAAATGTCATATTTCAATTGCTCACAAATTCTTCAAATTGACAATATGGCAAGTCTATTCAAAGATAAGTAAGTCATGGTACACAGACCAACTCTATTATACCAAGGACACTTACCTAGACTAGGAGAAAACAGAGACTGGGAGGAATAATTCTGCCTTGGGACCAGAGGAAGAGAGCAAGAGTTACAGAAAAAAGAGGTGGCATTTGAGCTAGCTCTTTAAGTATGAATGGGAGAAGAAAGAAAAGGGTATCTGGAAACAAGGAAGCAGCAGTAGCAAATGAGGAAGAATCGAAAGGGAAGCCAGAGAGCACCATTATCACCAGAGGATATACCAAATCCAGTCATTCATAAGCTATTTAGTTTGTGATTTTAAACAATAGCTGCTATCAGCCGGGCAAGGTGGTTCACGCCTGTAATCCTGGCATTTTGGGAGGCTGAGGCAGGAGGATCACTTGAGGTCAGGAGTTCAAGGCCAGCCTGGCCAACATGGTGAAACCCTGTCTCGACTAAAAATACAAAATAAAAATTAGCCAGGCGTGGTGGGGTGCACCTGTAATCCCAGCAATTTGGGAGGCTGAGGCACAAGAATCGCTTGAACTTGGAAGGTGGAGGTTGCAGTGAGCCAAGGTTGCACCACTGTACTCCAGCTTGGGCAATAGAACAAGACTGTCTCAAAAAAAAAAAAAAAAAAAAAAAAAAAAATTTAAATAGCTGTTACCTTCTCCTTAAAATTAATTTAAGTTGAAGGCAGGGATTATGTCTTACCTAGCTGCACTACAATGCTTTTACAGAGAAGGTTCCTAAATTTTAATTTAGTACATATATTTCTTCATTCTAGTGTAAATTACCTGAGTTAGTGATGCACTGTGCTCCATAACCTTATGGCATCTTTATCCATAAATGGCATTCATATTTGTGAAGTTCTTTGCTTTATTTTAAAAAGCAGTAATGGATATATGTTTAAGTGAATGTGGCAACATCAGTTATCCCCATTAAGCTATCTAAAACCCCATGACATGAAAAGGGTCCACTGCATTCAAAGCAAAGAAATTATCCAAGCATCTTCACTGCTCTCACCTTTTCATTGGCCATTGAATGGTACCACCAAAACAGTCGTGTTGTGATATAATAAGCAATGATCACATCGACAGTGTAGTGTTCATGTGCTACAAGAATGCAGATGATCCCGGCAGCACTCAGCAGCCAGCAGATTAAATGATACCACCAGAAGTGACGAGGCGAATCTGGACAGCAGAAAAATTACAGAGTTAATAAGATTCCCAGAGATGAATATAATGATTACAGTCTGTCCTAACGACCTTAAGTAGAATAACCCAGGATCAAGAGGTCACCAGAAGGAGAAAACTGATAACGTAAACTGAGTCACTATGAACTGCCCGGGATCTGCTCAGGTAGGAGGGAGGCAGAGGGGCTCCCTGGCAGTGGGCGTAATAGTCATTCGCTGGGGAAGCTGGTAACACTAGACATTCTAGGCCTTGCCCATGTGAATAAGCTGTTTCATAAGAAAGAGAACAGAATTGTTTATTAGGTTGGCTGGAATTGCATACTGGCTCACATAAAGGAGCCACTTTCCCACTGGAAAGAAAGATAGTAGGGGTCAAAAGAAAAGGTGGTTGTCTATGAAAATAAGAAGGGAAATGGGAAAACAGGAGTAATTTCAGGTTTTAAATTTATATTAGTTCTCCAGGGGTATGTGTAGGGTAAGGGCGTCAGAAGGAATGGCATTGTGGCTAGCAGTATTTTGATTCTCAGCAATTTTACACTGTTATTGCCAATAGCAACTATAAAACATTCCCTCTGTAAAGGTTAGGATTCCTGACCATTCACTTGTGGACTCAGCCTTCCTGGTAAGGCCACTTAAAAGTTCATTCTACTTACCAGCTGTAAGAAACAACTATGGCACTCACTAAGGTCTCTTAGCAATCCTGCTTCCCAATGTATAGGTCATCTGGTATTTACCTTAGAAGTTCAAAATGTTTGGGCAAACTAGAACTATTTTGCATTTGTTTATTCACAAGAAGCAAAGCTGAAGTAGGTATAGAGGTGGCCTGAATCTTCTTTTTACTACTCATGGAATTGCAAGTGAGGTTTTAGGAATGGCTGGAAACCCCAGCAGTGCTTTCACATAAAAATGTATTTCCTATTATGCTACCACATTGGGCCCACCACTCATCAACTGAGAACACTGGCTGACCCAAAGAAAAGATTGAATAGAAGGTGTTTTGAAATAGAAATGGCAAAATGGTAATCCTCTTACTTTCTCATTCATCCCCTAGGGATAACAATGAGCTAGATGATGACACAAATAGTAGTTAACATCACTGTCTGTGTGGAATTCTAGCCCTAGGAGGCATTAAATAATAGAGACAATGGACTTGGTAGGGTGGCAATGTGAAAAACCAAAAAACTGTTCTCTACTAGCCAGATGTTTGGCACTAACAGCTAGTCTGATTTCTCCAGGCTAATTTTATCAGGAATCTACACCCCAATTATAATATTTGCACGACTGTATGAAGCCCTCCCTTGTTAACCCCAAAATGGTCCTGGTGCCACATTTTCATGTGCTCTCACAACTAAATTTAAATCTACTTATGACAACACAGCAAAGAAGGAAAGAGTCCAAACTGATCAAAAGGCGGAAAGTAAAAATATATATATAAATGATGCATCTAATTCTAGAAGCAGACTTTTCAAAGAAACCACTGGAACCACTGCTTACTCAGAACAAGAACGTACAGTATAATTTAGAAGATAAATGTTTTTCCTAATTGCCTAGAAAGAAAGCAGACATAAACATGGAATGCTCTGCTTATATACAGAATTGACTATAAAATTGAGTTTGTGTTAAGTATTACAGATATGTCCCTTTATTTCTCACCAAAAATTGGAGAAAGCAAAATGGTATTCTTTGCATGCTACATATAAATTTACACAATTTTAGAAACCTCTAGTCAAAATAATGTCTTGGGGAAAAATGTCTCTACATACTGAGTGGCCTTCATTAAAGTATAAAATCAATCACAAGTTGCCTTGCTGTTGCTCTGAGGTGAAAGAATGTACAATAATGAGCAATGTCCCTGCTTATAGATAAGTATACTATTCCTTGGCAGTACAATAGAGTCAACCAGCTTGAATTTCCAAAGTTCTAAACATAGCCAAGAAATTAAAAGCAAAACCTCTGGATTCAGCCTGCTTCAACCTGAATACCTGCTTCTCCAAATGATGGCTATGCACTGTGGCCAATCACTTTCTCTATGCTTAAGTTTACACATCTGAAAAATGGGAAAAAAGTAATGCATCCCTCAGACGGTGGTTGTAAGGATCAAATGAGTTAATTTACATCAAGGCCCTAGAATAGTGCCTGGGACAGAGTAAGTATTATGTCTATTTGCTAATATTGTTAATGATATGGTTTGGCTGTGTCCCCACCCAAATCTCATCTTGAATTGTAGCTCCCATAATTCTCATGTGTTGTGGGAGGGACCTGGTGGGAGATAACTGAATCACGGGGGTGGTTTTCCCCATACTGTTCTTGTGGTGGTAAATAAGTCTCACAAGATCTGATAGTTTTATAAGGGGAAACCCCTTTTGCTTGGTTTTCATTCTCTCTTGTCTGCTGCCATGTAAGATGTGGCTTTTGCCTTCCACCATGATTGTGAGGCCTCCTCGGCCACATGAAACTGTGAGTCCATTAAACCACTTTTCTTTATAAATTACCCAGTCTTGGTTATGTCTTTATCAGCAGTGTGAAAACAGACTAATACAGTTAATATCAGTTGGTTTTCAGTTATTTTAGAAAACTGAATCTAAGTTTCCTGGGGGTGTTTTTATTACTTTAAACCTACAATGCCTTCACTCTGAAATGCCCTTCCCCACCTCCACCCTCATCCCCATCTCCTTCTGTAAGTTTTTTATGATCTTCAGATTAGAGAGAAGATCCGAAACTCAAATGTACATCTAGACTAGACAATGACTGATCTTACATTGCACACTGATGGAACTTTCCTTGGCAAAATTAGAGTTAGAACCATAGCAACATATATCCTTCCACCCAACCCCCCAGAACCAATAACTCAATATTAGAAATGGAGTGACTAAATTTAAGGAAGAGACCATCCTCTGATGATGGTGCAGAGACAGATCCAGGACCCACCCCACCACCCCAAGAGTGTGAGAATAGAAATAAGGGAAAAGGTGCAGAGGCTTCAACTTTTAAGTCAAGTATGAAGACCCCACATGTATCCCAATTTCTCCCTACCGCAGGTCTGTATGTAGAATTTACAAAGGAAGCAACAAAGAGATGCTACAATTCTCACAAAAAAAGACTTGACTTCATCTACTACAGAGAACCTCAACTCTTTTGTCATCTTGCCCTCACAGCAGAACTTAAACCAAATACCCCAGGTAATCAAAGGGGCAATAATTCACTTCTGCACCACTGAAGATAACCCTTGACTTCCACACCACCATTCAATTAGGATGAACCTATTTGGATTAACAAAGGGCCAAGTGAGGAGGGAAGAGCAAGGAGGACAGGGGAGGGGAAGCTGCCTTCTGCTGCTCTCTGCTGAAAGACCTCCTTTTAAATATGTCCAGTGAAAAGGATTAAGATAAACCTCTAAAAAATACTGGCATGAGGTAACTTGGAACTAAAGATGAAGGGTAATACTGACCAGCTTTGCAAACCTGAAGGGAGAAGCATTATTACTTCAAAAGGATTTTGAGGTAACAGGCCTAAATATACAAAACCTCGGAAATATATAAAAATGGGATCTACTGGGCAGCTAAAACAGTACAACCCTACAAAGAACAAGACATGATAGACATGATTTTGGCCATAAAACCTACTAGAAAACCCAAGGATTTTCTATAATGTGAACTAAGCATATAAATATAGAAAGATTTTTATTTTTTACCACCACATTTCTTCTTGAGAAGAAAATAATCAGTATTGGCAAAATGGTCCATGAAGACTCCTATGAAAGCATAGAAAGTGCTGGAAAATGATGAAATTAGAATAAAGTGGGACTTGGAAATGTTTTAAAAAGAGGAACACATTAACTGAATTATTTGGAATGCTAGAATGGAAGTGTCCTACAAATAATGCAAAGGTCATTACAACTGTCTTTAGAATGTACCAATCCTTTTTGCAATAAAATTAACAATTAATTCTAATATTAAGATAGATTTTCATACCTTAAGAAGTACTAACCAAGAAGGGAGATGTTTTAGAGGCATGTTAAATGCTAGAGAGAAGCCAGGGCCAAGTTTTAAGCCTTCAGGGTTCAAATCACATATGACTAGTTGAAATTTTATATATATATATATATACACACACACACACACACATATATTCACACACACACACACACACCTGTCTCTTTCACAGCTTATCAATCCCAAGAAAATAAGGGCTCCTATCAATTTCAGAGCCCAGGGACCCCTCCCACTACAGTTATCAGTTCAGTGGGAATGGGCTATTACTTACATTCTTTGATGAACAAATAAGTCAGTGTCAGCGTAACCGTGTGACCGCTGAAGAGGAAGTCTCCACATAAGATATGTGATCCAGTTATGGACAATCCACCACCAGAAATCAATCGTAGAATCCGTTGTACTTTTGCCTGAGAGTCTCCATTAAGCTGAACGACACAAGAAGATTAAGAAGGGAATCTACAAGTGGCTAAAATCATGTTTCAGTCTAATTGTGTGACTCTTAGAAAGGACACCAGGTTGTGATTTTTTTTTTTCTTTTTAACCTAAAAAGTCAAAAAGAATCCAAGGAGAAGCTCCTCAAACTGGGTTTTATTCATTTATTGGCAAGTTTTATTGACATGTTTTAAATTATTCAATATGTTACTAATAATATGTCTTGGTGGTGGTGTGTCCTTGGGCAAAGCTTTTAAAAATATTAATAACCAATGACTTCACCACGACTATGTGCTAAAAAGCAGATCAAAGCTACTTTCTTTCCTTTTTGCAGGGGGAAGTGAGGGTTTTGAATGGTTAATATTTGATTCAGCTGCATACCACATTACCAATATTCTCTACAGTGAATTGGTACCTTGTATTAGGTGGGCAGCCTAAAGTGGACAGACATATAGCTGTATTAATGTCTGACAAAACATTTACAATTAAGAAGAGGAGTTGCAACTCATTAAATAATTTAAATAGGTTTGAAAATGATGGATTAGGGATGCACTGGCAGCTTTAAAAACGAGTAGCTTTGATTAGGAAAAACATCCCTAAAGAAATAGCCTGTGTGCTATGGCAGGAGGCTAGGAGAGCTCCTTTGGACAAGGTGCAGCAGCCCCACAAAGCCACTGTGATGACATGAGAAACAATGCTGGGCTAGGCCAAGGGCTGGAGAGGTTTGTACTCCATTACAATTTAATCATACAGGAAGGAGTTGGTCAAAACTGTAGGCACAGAAAATTGGAATACTGAATTATTGAGGGGCTAGATTGGGTGGGGGATTCAGATCAGATGAGTGTAGAGCAAATTGATTGAGAAAATCAAAGAATAATGCTCAGAAAAAAAATCATGTAATAGAATACACGGGAGAGAAATACAGAAAGACCTTTTGAGACAGGGTCTTGCTCCTTCACCCAGGCTGGAGTGCAACGGGTGGTACATTAGGTACAGGAGAGACCAACTTGGCTGCTGCCAAATAGGAAAGCTTATCATCTACATTGTTTCTTCCATTAAGAAGGTAAGTATCTGAGGTCAAGAGTTCGAGATCAACCTGATCAACATGGAGAAACCCTGTCTCTACTAAAAAAACAAAAACAAAAACCAGCTAGGTGTGGTGGCACATGCCTGTAATCCCAGCTACTCGGGACACTGAGGCAGGAGAATTGCTTGAACCTGGGAGGTGGAGGTTGTGGTGAGCCAAGATTGCACCATTGCACTCCAGCCTGGGCAACAAGAGCAAAACTCTGTCTCAAAAAAAAAAAAAAAAAAAAAAAGTAGGTGTTTGGCCACCTGTGGCCAAGGTGAGGGATAGCTCGCCCTAGAAAGCTTTCTCAGGGAAGGGGAATGTTGCTCTCCCAGCCAAACATTCTTATATGTGGAAAAATAGGTTTGCAAAGCTAAATCATTTCATGTAATCATTTTATAATAACTGGGCCAACACTTATCTAAACACACTTTGAAGAACACAGATTGTCCGACTGTCAATCAAAACTTGGATTGGAGATTAAAGCAAAGTCTAAGCAAAAAATTAAAAGTGAACCATAGGATACATAAAGGAGAAGGCAACTGGAAAACTAGGAAAGCAAAGCTTTCACTATGATGGCTCTTGTAAGCATGTCTGGTGAGTTACAAGTTGTACAGGCATCAATTACTATAACAGATATGACACTTTTCCATAGTGAGTGGCTTCCATATACAAAGTTCTGATATTCCTTATAGTCATGAAGGACATTCTATAGAGTCAGCAACACAGGAGACAAGTAGATTATCTAATAGCTTTGTAACCATAAACATCTAAGCAGCACCCAAAGCCAGCAGACGAACCAAATTCAGAACACAACTCTGATGCCTGTTCTATGACACCACCTCACCTCTAGTCAAACCAACTGATTTGTGTTTCTTTTACTGAACCATGATTCAGGCATGTATAGCTTGCTTATGCTTCAGGAAGGGGTCCCAACAAGTGAACCTGGGCGATGATTAGTAAGGATGTTACCAGAGGTTCCACTGTGACTATTTGTAGCTTGGCTATCCAACAGCACTGATGTGGCTTCTGAAGATTGCAACTCTTCCACGGAGGACAATCTTTAATTTACTTTCTTTCTACAATCATAGCAATTCATCCTGCAAACCTCATCCGTTACTAAGATGGGTTTGCCTTCTTTTCTGTGGCCATTTCTCCATTTAACACATTGCAATAGCCCCTTAGAAGTGTTTATTACACTTCTGAACTTCTCCCACGCCTTAAATTAGCTTCACTAAAATCAGCCAGTGTTTAAATTCAATATGTACACTGTTTTAATTACAGACATTTTCTGCTTTGATGGCTTTGGAAAAGTATAGCTTCTCCAGCCACACCTATATTTGGTGAGGGAGACTGTGGACGTCTTCAGAGAAGCTCGATTTTTCTTTCACCTCAGACATCTGCTTAGTGTTCAGTAAAATATGATGTTAGACTTCATTCCTTTGTCCAGAAAGCACATGATTTGTAATTTTCCATTTTGTAAACCAGGGTGCACTGAAGTCCGAGATGATTAACAGCTCTCTCAAGAACTCGCTCTTCCTGGATAAACTGTAATTCCTTCTTAGGACGGTTTCAGAAGACATCCTCACGCACTGTCTCACTCAAAGGCCACTCTCTCTTTCCAGCTGCTAAAAACCTTGGAGTCATCCTTGACTCCTTTCTCTCAAACCCATATCCAAGTTATTAGCATATCCTATATCCCGAACTGAACAACTTCTCATTACTTCCACTGCTACCGCTAAGGCTGAAGTTCCTATACCGCACTGCAAGACCCTATGTGATCTGTGGTCTGCACACCCCGACCCTTCACAACTCCACTCTGACACACCAGCCTCCCTACTCTTCCTTTATTCACTGTGAATAAGCAGTGTTTTAGCCTAGAGCTCTCATGCCATCCACATGCCTCATTTCCTGGTCTTGGTTCCTGCCCAAATGCTTTGTTATTAAAGACCTCTATATCATCAAATAGAACCCTCAAGCACCCTTTCACCTTACTCAGCTCTGCTGTTCTCCATGTGACAATCACCTGACTTATCATCATGTGACAAATTATGACTTTGTTTATAATTTGTCATCCCTAATAGAATATAAGCTCCAGAAGAGGGACATTGTTTGGGTTACTACAATCCCTGGTACATAAGCTTAATGCCTGTAGAATGAATGCATTAATGAATAAGTAAATGAGAAGGTAACAAAGTAGAATCAAACCCCCAATGGTAATTTTCAGTTAGCAGAAAATATTTTTTTTTAGCACAAAATATATTTTATAAATACATTTTAATTTCTTCCTCTCAAATCTAAATAGAAGACAGAAAAGATGCTAGATTTCAGTTAACACATAGGAAAGTGTCTAGAAGAATGTATAATAAAGGGTAAGTGATCAATGACTGTTTGCCTGGTTTCTTCTAAGTGGTAGTTTGGAAGTACTGACCTTTGGAGCACACTGGAAATGCATTCCAGGCACAGGTAGAGTAGTAACATACATTGTAATGCAGCGATACAGGTATAAAGTTCCAATAATAAAACAGAATCTGCGTCCCACTATTGACCTAAAGGAAAAAATAGGGATGGGGAAAAACAGGTTTACTGTTTGTTTTTATTCCTAATGAAAAATAAAACAATGTTTAACAGGATAAAGAATAATCGGTACAGAATGGCATTAACAAACAAACCACAGTTTCACAGAGTTTAAAGGCTTACTTGTGAGTTGCCCATCCCTACAGTTCCATGGAGAGATTGCACCACAGTTTTCAAAATGAAGATTCACTTACTGCAATAAATCTAGGTGGTTTGACTTCCAAAGGATGTGTGTGTGTGCAGTGGGGGAACTAAAGTAGATGAAGAGTCTACGTAATCACCTCTCCTCAAAGGCACTCTTTACCAGAGAATTCAATGAACCTGTCTGTATTTTCAGTCAACTCACCGCATTAAAACCCTCTCTTGAGAACATATGAAAGGAATAAGCAAGCTACGATCACAGAGGAATTAACTAATGAGTCAAGGTGACATTACATCATTAGACACATAGGGAAATGTGACAACACATTTAACCCACGGTATAAGCAGGGTTTATTTGAGGACCATCTGAAGGTATTTTGACAACACAGGCATGAACTATTCTCTCTGTGGCTAAATAGATTTTCAAAAAACTCTATCTTGAAAATGTCCATAAGTGTTCTCATACAATTAATTACATTTAATAGTGAATTATAAGCTGATTATTTTATTCAATCTTGATCAAAAAAGGACAAAAAAATCCCACAAGTCATTTTTCACTTTATATTTCTGTGGGAAGAAAGTTGTCTTAACTAACATTAGCCCCTGTGCTTCATGACCTGAGTCCTCAGCCTAAGCCAGGCTTCCCAGTGGATGACTGAGGATCCTGTCTTCAAAGGGGAAGGGCTCTGCCATTGTACCATTGCCTCATGGGTATCTGAATGGGCATCACAGGTCTGAATGTCCTCAGTCCAGCTGAACAGGACAGCTCCTTTTCTGTTGTATAGTTAGGTCTATAAGCTCTGGGCTCTGGGGATTAAGAGATGAGTGGGACTCCACATAAAGCCCCTAGACTTGCTAGGTGTTATTTCCTTAGTACATAAAACATATTACTCGAGGTCTCTCATTTTCAGAGCTCTCAAGCTTTCAAGACTGGTAGTGATCAAAGACTTCGGGAAAAACAGGCAGTTTCAGGTAATGTGACATATTTTAAGTTTTCCGTAAGATTGTGGTTCTGACATGAATCAAAGTCTAACTCAGGTACCATCTGGAACTTCTAATTTCAAGAATTATGTGTAAATATATATTTCAGCTGTTTCCAATAGCTATTTTAAGAGTATTCCAAGGTTTCTGGGGTCAAAAGAAAAAAAAAATAGAAGGGAACACTACCTAGACTGGTAGATGAGAGTATTTATTTATCCCTAAGGCATTTCTTTAAAGGTTTGCTATTCTAGTTCTGCCTTTCCTGGTACTAAAAAGGAGCAGGTAATAAACAGTGCTGAGTTTCTCCCCTCAGTTAAGGGAAAACCAATTCAGCCTTTGATCCAACCTCAGGTTCCAACAGAGTGCTGTTTTGAATTGTGCTCCATGCTGTTAGACAAGGTGAAGTAATAAGCAGAAATTATTATGAGTCAATTACATTCATCCCAGCATTCTGAGTTGAGCTGTACTCAAAACAGAAAACTTAGAAGGTGAAAGATGTACTCTACAGCCTTATTTAGAAAATGAACTAGTGCTAATGATTTTTTTACCATAGCTTTGAAAGGTGCTTTTAAAAGAGAGAGTAAGCAACATTCCTCATTCAGCTGGGATGCTCAAAACAGGTTATAAAAATTATTCTACTAGTTACTAAAATGTAAGAGCCAATTCTACTTCAAATGTAAAAAGGCAAACTTGTGTGAATTGCAACTGAAACAGTGGATATCATTAAAATGTATGGTCCGGCTATGTGACCCTGTGTTTGGATATGTTGAAATCTAAGGTGGTAAGTACAGGCAGTTAACAATAACTATCTAATGAAAATTCAAAAAGAATCTAGATGAAAATATAGCTAAATTGAGGGAAAAACTATACTTCAGGGTGGAGTCCACATACTTACCAGATCCTGGACAATTTCTCGTTTCACACATATATCAATAAAACCTTGCTCTAAATAAAGAAGAAAGCAAATTATCTGCAGCCTTAGCAGGCTCTCTTACATTGTGTTAATTTCCAGACACTAAAAAGAAAAACACTGAAGTTCATAAATACATTTTTTGCTTTTAGCATAAAGCATCCTTTAACAATTTAAGGAGCAGGTTACTTTTTTAAGTAAAAGACAACTCATAGTTAAGTCTATTACTTAAGCATATTAAGGAAACACATGAAGAGTTATATTAAGGAAAATGCTTAGGAATGACTGCAGTTTGTGGAATAACGTTTTAAGACTGCAAAGTTGCATTTGGGGAACTCTTTGAATTCCTCTAATCACAAAACAGTAACAGTGTTAGGGTCTGAGTGGATATACCACATTGAGAGTCCTATAATTGATCAAGTAATGAAAAATGTTACCAACTGAAAAACAATACAGCCAAAATTCTCTAAGAATGATCTTGTGGCATTAATACTGAAATCCTATGTGACCTGGAATCTTCAGATTGTATACAAGTTAGCATATATTACATTTTTAAACTCCATATTATGGTCAGTGTTTTGGTCAAAATCATATTTTAGTGATTTAATCACTACCATCCCAGTAGAAAACAAATGTCTAAATGATGAATGAGAGGAAAGGAGGAATTAAGGAGCCTTTGTTTTTATGGACTAGGAGTCAGAATTCACATAGAGAAGCAGAAATAACCACTTCAGGGCTATGTCCAATTCTTAAGTGTCTTCAAAGCAAAAGTACCTGACTTATTTCTTCTTGATTTCCTACTATTCCAAAAATGAGGAGGCTGAACCCAGTGAACCATGAGCTCCTTTGTGATGTCCAAGGAAAACCAGAGGGCAAGTTTACTTTAGAAATCTAAAAATCAAAACCGCATGGATTCAGTTCTAAACTCAGTTTCTTAAACTCTTGTAACTAGATAGCAAGCAAACAAAAAACCAAAACCACACCCACACACCCAGCCCCACAGAAATGTAAAATTTGAGAACTGAATCCAGGCAAACCTTAAAGCAGGCTATTGACTCTAGACCAATACAGACATCACATTATGAGTAATGGAGAAAAAAGTTTCTCAACCTATTCCTTTTCCCACTTGTCAAGAGCCTGAAATAACAAACATGATGGAAGTGAATGTTATTCCTTTCCAAGCCTCTTGATTTATCATACAAATACCATAGCTGGAAGTCAGGAACTGCACCTTAAATTCATCAACTCTGAGTCACCCACCACAGTACTGCTGTACACTGCCACTTTCATACACAGTTGCTCAACAAACACTTACTGAATAGTGACTGAATTTATTCAATGTGGTAGAGCTTTCTACTGCTTTCTTTCATCAAATGTTTGGGTAAGACTGAATTTATTGGAATAAAAAGGAAAGATGATCTCAATTACTCATCTATTCACTCAAAAACAAACCCATGGCAAATCCCCAAAACATTAGATTTACTTACTTGTATCTCAGAAACAGCCACTGGGTGATCCATAATCCAACTAATATAATCCCATTTATTTCTGATACAGAAAATGCCCATTTCACCCTATCAATGTAATCAAAAAACTTGTCTGGGAGTGGAGGGCTAAGCTCCTTGGGAGGGACCCTCTCATGTACAACTGTGATCATGACGGTTGTCAAGACGAGGTTGAAAACCGCATATATGAAGGCAATGCCCGTTTTCCACCACTCTAGTGGAAATTTGTTCCTTGATTCAGTGGGCATAGCAATTTGGATATAGTCCGGGTACTTTTTGGTGCCTTTTCGCAGCCCACTGGATAAGCTCTTGGGTTTACCATTGCCATTTTTGTTTTCTTCTTCAACAGGTTCAGTGGGTCTTGTGTAAGTGTTTGTAGGATCACTGGGTTGATTTTCCAAATGTTCTTCAAGTTTTGCTGTCTCTATGATATCCATTGTCCCCTAGTCTTCAGATCAAAAAGGAGATGGTCAAGTTCTTGTTCTTTGTGGAAATTTAGCTTTTTTCAATCCTTCTATTTCCAAGATCAACATGGACTCTTACAATGGACTTTGTTTCCTAACACAAAAGGTAGAAGGTAGCCATCTGATTACCGTTCCTTCCATGCAACTATATGCTGTACCTTCACCACTTTCAAGAAAGGAAGCCAATTCTTCCCTCAAAAAGATGTTACTATCCCACCTAAAAGAAAAACAAAATTATGTTCAGAAACTATGCTTGTCCAATTATCAACCATCCAAAAAAAAAAAATTCTTAAAATAAGGAAACAAATACCAAAGTCATTTGCTTTATAAACATAATGTCAGAACCTAGTTAAAGCTGCCGAGATCAAGTTGATTTACAAAATACTGAACTGTTTTATCTTGGAATTCTCATCTCTTTTTGAGCTAGTATGGGTAGAAATAGGAAATAGGAACATTTTAACAATCAGTTCCCTTTAAATTTCCTTAAAGAAAAATCAGGACCCAACATTGCAAACACTTCATCAGACACTATCACTTGTTGCTAACCATGAAGTCATAATAAGCTAGAAATTAACCAGAGATCACATCAATCCTTCCAAAGACTGTATTTTCTATGAGCCATAAAGAAAGAATACAAAACTGGTAAGTGGCTTATATGCATTGAATAATTGTTACTCTCTGCATTTGTCAAAATAGTCAATTTTCTATTTTCTAATTAAAAAACAAGTCTTTTTAAGTGCTCGCTTTCAAGAACAGATTCAAGAACACCACATTCAAGATATTTAAAATGGCACAGCCTCAGTTTATCCTTTTATATTCAGAGATGCATGCCATATACAAGAAAAGCTGGCAGTCTTCAAAATAACTCTGAAAAGATACACCAAGCTTTAGCTATGTCTCTCACACAGGTAACAAGTAGAATTTATTTGAAGGATAAAAACACCTCACTACAATTGGCATGATAAATTAGTAACTAATGACATTTTGATGCAGCCACCACAATTTCTACCAAACAATAGAAACGGGCCTCCAGAGGACCAGCTCAGGGGACTCACCCACCACGACACTGATGAGGATAACTACCTTTGGCTTCAGCTTCACAGGTTCCAGAGAGCACACATTTCTTTAGGACACAGGGCACCACTGCCACCTCTTTTATACTTGCTCGTACACGGCCCCAGCTGTTCTCAATTTAGGAGAGCAGTCTTTTAGTCCTGCTACAGAAGCCAGCCACCTGATGAGGTTTTCAAACCTTGTAATTAGTCCCCTCCCTGGATACACTGCTCAACTTAAGCACAATCCACTGCATTTTAAAGCGCCCCCCACCCCCTTTCAGGGTAACTTCAGGGAAAACTGAGGAGGACAAACTCAAAGTGATGACAGCTAAGCCTTTATTTAATGAAAGGAAAAAAAAGTGAAAATGGCAGTCAATATGTACAGGCAATGCCTGTTTACAATTATGGGTGGCAAATAAGCCACAAGTGTTTACTGTACACCTAAATGCCCCAGTGCTGAGGGCTATGTAGGGGAAATTAAAAGGAGTGAAAAACACCTGACCTGAACATTCAGCCAAAGAGCTTGCAGTCTAACCAAAGAGACAGGGCTAAAACGATGAAAGACTACTGGAGAAGACTGATTGGCATATTGTGAAAGGAAGGAGTGGGATGTGCTGGTCACTAGATAAAGTGAGAGGTTTGGTTGTACTGTTTCCCTGCTCCCGGGACAAGATGTGTCCACACACAGGCTCTGATTCTGAGAAAGCAAAAGCATATGGAAAGCTGGCCTGGTAGAGAAATAGGGGATAAGGGAGCATGAGACTAGCTAAAAGGTGCTACTGAGAATTATAAACATCTCACCTTTCTCTTGTCCTTCTGCAGAGCCCTCAGCTATCAATACATTACAGCAGGATAAGAAAGGCCCAGTGGCCCTCTGGCTTGACAGTGTCTTGGCACAATGTTGTGGGAAGAATAGGCACAATGTTGTGGGAAGAATAAGCACAATGAAGAGGTGCCTCAGGAAGGTATTTTCAACAACAAACCTTCAACACCATGAACTACTACTTCTAACGGAGGTCGGTCCGAAGCACTAACACAGCCATTTCCTGTATCTCTTTAGCAGCCTTGCCTAATCCACTTACAGCATCTTGCCAAACCATCATCCAAATTCCCTTCAACTTTACTCTTTCATATGTGCTCCTAGACTTGTGTTCATGTGTGAAAGAAGCTTGTGATTTTGAAACTCCATTTCACAGTGGATGTACAGATGGTCTTTATAAGGTAGCTACTTGGTTCTAGAACACAGAATGTGGAACAGAAGAAAATCCAATTAGTAACCTTTTTTCTTTTTTTTTCCCCAAGAGGAAACACTCAGCCACCCACCTCATGGGACTGCTATGAGAATGACTAAATAATTGTGAAGAGCTTTGTGCCCCTGGGAGTAAGAACACTATGTGGGTACAATGCCCATTTATCGTCATTAGTGTTAAAATTAATATTTTCCTTGGGATTAAGATTAAATATACACAGCACATTCATCATGTGTCAACAAATCTTGGGACAGAATGTTTGTCATCAAGACAATGATCGCAACATATTCATTCCTATTGTGAAAGGAAAATATCTCGGGGTCCCAAAATCACTAAGCTAGAGGGAAAAGTCAAGCTGGGAACTGCTTAGGGCAAACCTGCCTCTCATTCTCACACATCTGCTCACTGAGATAAATGCATATCTCATTGCCTGCTTTGGAGAGGCTAATCAGAAGCCCAAAAGAATGCAACCATTTATTTCTTATCTACTTATGACCTGGAAGCCCCCTCCCTGCTTTGAGTTGTCCCACCTTTCCAGACCGAACCAATGTTCATCTTACATATGTTGATTCATGTCTCATGTCCCCCTAAGATGTATAAAACCAAACTGTGCTCTGACCACCTTGGGCACATGTCATCAAGACCTCCCAAGGCTGTGTCATGGGCGTGCATCCTCAACCTTGGCAAAATACTTTCTAAATTAACTGAGACCTGTCTCAAATTTTCAGGGTTCACATTTTGGTAACCACAGAGGGATTCTGAGTGGAGATGCCCCTAACCTCTGACAAATCTATCAGTGCTTGGTTGAGTCTTGGGCTATCTTTATGGCTTAAACCAACAGGACAATTTGCTGAGGCCTGGAAGCACCCATTCCAGAGAATCCCTGATCTCCCCAATTCTAGTTGAGATCTAAAGTTTATTTTGCTGTCACAACTTTTTTTTGGAGTTTTAGTTGCTTCCAATACAAGGAAGACACGTTTTCTTGCTTCCATGATGATGGAACGCAGGTAACTCCTTTACGGAGTTTCCCTTCCAAAAGGGAAGATGAGTTTTTTTTTTTCCTGCTCCTAGTGACACAGAAGATAGAAAAGTTATTTAGGCAGATAGTGAGGGTAAAAGAGTCCTCAGCAAGGCTTCCCTTCTAACAGAAAGCAGCCCGAGAAACATTTTTTTTTTGTCTAATGAAGAGCAGCCTGAAAAATTGAGCTGCAAACATAGATAAGCAAGCTGGAAGCTTGCACAGGTTGCTGCTGGCAGCTGTGCCAATACAAAATGGCTACCTGGTAGCCAGGTATGTTCAACGTGGAGGCTCCATCTTCCCTTTTGTCACCATGTGTACAGTAAAGACACAGGCAACATGGTGCTGGCCAGGAAGATAACCTATTTGCATAATAAAAGATTAGGGTGGAGGTGGCCAGTTTTTTGCACCCTTATGCAAATGGCACACCTGGTCCAGGCAATCTTTCATGCCCTATGTAAATCAAACACCACCTCCTCAGGCTCATCTGTAAAACCTCCTGCATTTCACTGAGGAAGCAGAAACCCATTTGGGACCCCTCTCTCTGCAGGAGAAAGCTCTTTTCCTTTTGCCTATTAATTCTCTGCTTTTAACCTCGCTCCATGTGTGTCCATGTCCTTGATTTCCTCTGCATGAGACAATGAACCTCAGGTATCACCCCAGACAACAAGGCTGCTTCATTAGGATAGACAGCAGTCTTCAGTCTGAGACCCACCCACCCCTAGATAACTAACTAAATCGGGGTTTGTCTTGGCTAAAGTTAACATTAACAACCAGCTGCTCTTAATGTCTCTTTACCATTAGAGCGTTCAGTAATCATATAAGTTGTGTAATCATTTGTTTTGCTTAACTGGTTTTTTATTTATTGTTTCTGTTTTTGATATTGTTTCAGTCTTTTTCCCATTGGGTTTAACCAACTTCACCCAACTTGATCAAATCCGAATGAAAGTTTCAAATTATGGGGAACAAGGCCTCTGAAGTGGCTAAATTCTCATAGACACACACAAAAAAGGTAGTATGGTAAGGTGGTATAGTGGGGGTAGAAAAACAGCCAGAAAAAGGAAAAAAAAAAAAAAAGGAAAGATTTTTTATTTTGATTACTTAAGGGGCTTTATTTACATAACAAAGCCACCTTTTTGCTAGCCAGGTCAAACTGAAAGCAATGGCAGTCACCCCATGCTGCATTTCAATAGCTAAGGTTCTGCCTTTTCTTTTCCCACCATGACAGCCTGAGGTTTGGTTACTAAATCAAGCCCTTTCTGGTTTGATACTTGGTACTTCTGAAATAGCGGCAATTTGTCCTAGTTCGTGAAATATGGAAATGAGATTTAAAGAGTATTTTTTTTTAAAGGAACTCAATGGTTAAAGTCAGCTTAATTGAAAACTACCATCCACGAGGTGGGTCTGTACGTTTGCATGTGTTTGTATTTAAGAGGACTTCATGTTTTTCTTTTTTCTCCCCTAGGACCTTGTCCTTTTTTTTGTTTTTTTTTTTGAGACAGAGTCTTGCTCTGTTGTCCAGGCTGGAGTACAGTGGTGTGATCGTGGCTCACTGCAACCTCAGCCTCCTGGGTTCAAAGGATTCTCCTGCTTCAGTCTCCCAAGTAGCTGGGATTACAGGCACACACCACCATGCCCAGCTAATTTTTGTATTTTTAGTACAGATGGGGTTTCACCATGTTAACCAGGCTGGTCTTGAACTCCTGACCTCAGTTGATCCACCTGCCTTGGCCTCTCAAAGTGCTGGAATTATAGGTATGAGCCACCATGCCCAGCACCCTTTTTAAAAAAATTTTTTCTTCTCAGTTGACTGGATTCTGTTTTCTTCCTTTACCTCTGCTGTCTCTCCTTTCTCTTTCACCCTCTGCTTCATGAGGGACCAAAAATACTTTATAATAGCCTGGGGTTCCTTAAAGAAAATGGAGAAGGCATCAGACTCCCTTTCAGGGAGAAACCTGTTTCTCCTTATGGAACTTCAAGAGTATAAACAGACAAGTTCATCTCAGCTTTTAAACTGCTTGCTTTTGTATTGTTACCTGATTTATTGACTAAAATAGTTATTGCAACAGAGGCTTAGCTTCAGTTTTTAAAGAAAAGTGTAGTCTAAACACTTAGAAATATCTTTGTGTAAAAAAATTTTTTAAAGTACCCCATAAAATCATCACATGGTCTAGCCTCACAAAAATTCTCCCTTTTTGGAAACCCAGGATTCAGTGTGGGCTCTGCCCAGGGTTCAGAGATCTGGTTAAAAGATAGATAGGTAATCTCTAAATAAAATTGGTCTCCTTATGCAATCCTATGATAGATTTTTATAATTTTACGTTTGATTTGGCATTCATCTTTAATCTCCCTCTAGACTTTTTCTCTCTGTACCTTATGATGCAAATTTTGCTATTTGATTTTCACCTGAGTTGTTTCCTTTAATATGCAAATTTAAGGCTACCTAGCTGACAACTACCTAAGGTTATGAAACAGGTTATCAAGATCCTGAAAATCTGGGGTGTGCCCAAGATGGCCGAATAGGAATAGCTCCAGCCTCCAGCTCCCAGCATGAATGACACAGAAGACAGGTGATTTCTGCCTTTTCAACTGAGGTACCGGGTTCATCTCACTGGGGCGTGTCAGACAGTCGGTGCTGGTTCAAGGGTGCAGCCCAACCAGCGAGAAGTGAAGCAGCGCGAGGCATCGCCTCACCTGGGAAGTGCAAGGGGGAAGGGAATTCCTTTTCCTAGCCAAAGGAAATTGAGACACACAACACCTGGAAAATCGGGTAACTCCCACCCTAATACTGCGCTTTACCAAGGGTCTTAGCAAACGACACACAAGGAGATTATATGCCACACTTGGCCCAGAGGGTCCCACGCCCATGGAGCCTCCCTTCATTGCTAGCACAGCAGTCTGAGATCTAACTGCAAGGTGGCAGCCAGGCTGGGGGAGGGGCACCCACCATTGCTGAGGTTTAAGAAGATAAACAAAGCCACCAGGAAGCTCAAATTGGGTGGAGCCCACTGCAGCTCAAGGAGGCCTGCCTGCCTCTGTAGATTCCACCTCTGGGGACCGGGCATAGCTAAACAAAAAGCAGCAGAAACTTCAGCAGAGGTAAATGTCCCTGTCTGACAGCTTTGAAGAGAGCAGTGGTTCTCCCAGCATGGAGGTTGAGATCTGAGAATGGACAGACTGACTGCTCAAGTGGGTACCTGACCCCTGAGTAGCCTAACTGGGTGACATCCCCCACTAGGTGCAGACTGACATCTCACACCTCACATGGCTAGGTACACCTGTGAGACGAAGCTTCCAGAGCAAAAATCAGACAGCAACACTCACTGTTCAGCAATAGTCTATCTTCTGCAGCCTCCGCTGCTGATACCCAGGCAAACAGGGTCTGGAGTGGACCTCAAGCAAACTCCAACAGACCTGCAGCTGAGGGTCCTGACTGTTAGAAGGAAAACTAAGAAACAGAAAGGACACCCACACCAAAACCCCATCAGGATGTCACCATCATCAAAGACCAAAGGCAGATAAAACCACAAAGATGGGGAAAAAGTAATGCAGAAAAGCTGGAAATACAAAAAATCAGAGCACATCTCCCCCTCCAAAGGAACACAGCTCATCGCCAGCAATGGAACAAAGCTGGATGGAGAATGACTTTGATGAGTTGAGAGAAGAAGGCTTCAGTCGATCAAACTTCTCAGAGCTCAAGGAGGAACTACATAACCAGCACAAAGAAACTAAAAACCTTGAAAAAGGAATGGATGAATGGATAACTAGAATAATCAATGCACAGAAGACCTTAAAAGAATGGATAGAGATGAAAACCATGACATGAGAACTACATGACAAATGCACAAGCTTCAGTAACCGACTTGATCAACTGGAAGAAAGATTATCAGCGACTGAAGATTGAACGAATGAAATGAAGCAAGAAGAGAAGTGTAGAGAAAAAAGAGTAAAAAGAAATGAACAAAGCCTCCAAGAAATATGGGATTATGTGAAAAGACCAAATCTAAATCTGATTGGTGTACCTGAAAGTGACGGGGAGAATGGAACCAAGTTGGAAAACACTCTGCAGCATATCATCCAGGAGAACTTCTCCAACCTAGCAAGGCAGGCCAACATTCAAATTCAGGAAACACAGAGAATGCCACAAAGATACTCCTTGAGAAGAGCAACTGCAAGACACATAATTGTCAGATTCACCAAAGTTGAAATGAAGGAACAAATCTTAAGGGCAGCCAGAGAGAAAGGTCGGGTTACCCACAAAGGGAAGCCCATCAGACTAACAGCAGATCTCTCGGCAGAAACTCTCCAAGCCAGAAGACAGTGGGGGCCAATATTCAACATTCTTAAAGAAAAGAATTTTCAACCCAGAATTTCATATCCAGCCAAACTAAGTTTCATAAGTGAAGGAGAAATTAAAATCCTTTACAGACAAGCAAATGCTTAGAGATTTTGTCACCACCAGGCCTGCCCTACAAGAGCTCCTGAAGGAAGCACTAAACATGGAAAGGAACAACCAGTACCAGCCATTGCAAACACATGCCAAAATGTAAAGTCCATCGATGCCAGGAAGAAACTGCATCAACTAACGGGCAGAACAACCAGCTAACATCATAATGACAGGATCAAGTTCACACATAACAATATTAACCTTAAATGTAAACGGACTAAATGGTCCAATTAAAAGACACAGACTGGCAAATTGGATAAAGAGTCAAGACCCATCAGTTTGCTGTATTCAGGAGAGCCATCTCACATGCAGAGACACACATAGGCTCAAAATAAAGGGATGGAGGAAGACCTACCAAGCAAATGGAAAACAAAAAAAGGCAGGGATTATTGTAACTTTTAATCTTGTGGCTTTGGGCAGTTTAGTCCACAGGAACTGAGGTTTGTTTTGAGAAAGGACTATTACTGTCTTTGTTTTAAAGCTAAACTATAAGCTAAGGTCCCAAAGTTAGTTTGTCCTACACCCAGGAATGAACAAGTACAGCTTGGAGGTTAGCAAGATGGAGTCAATTAGGTCAAATCTTTTTCACTGTTTCAGTTATAATTTTGCAATGGTGGTTCCAAAACTTCACATGATGGCTATCACAGTTTTCATAAATAATCTAGGTAAACAATTAAAATAATTATGTAAATGTAATGGGATAAATGATTGTAGACAAACAGGTCATAATTTAGAATCTAAAGTTATATTAAAAAATAGATATTTCATTATTTGGGTATTTTCCAATAAAAATATATTTGTAGGAAAACATTCTTTCAAAAAGAAAGTGTCCTTTTAAAAAAGGGTGAACAATTTTTGTCTAATTCAAAGCTTATTTAAAGGTCATGTATAAAACAAACCAGGAAATAAGAGAGATGTAGAGAAAGTTGTAAAAATAATTTTTTTTTGGTAAGAAAGCTTAAAAAGAAATAAGTTCAAATAAATAATTTTGTATGAGATTCTTCATATGAGAAAGAATTTAGTCCTAGAGTAGAATGACTGGTTGTTTAAGAAAGAGGGATGATCAGGACAAACCAGAAAGTCCAAGCATGTAATGAATGGTCTGCATAAGTCACAAGGAGAGGATTAAAGAAAACTTGTATTTTCAAGTTGTCACATTAAGTTTTGGTTTGCTTAGGAAAAAACTGAGATTAAAGCCTTTTTTTAAATTGAGGTTATTACATGCATGTAGCTCTCTGTATGTGCTTTTAAAGTACTTGTGACATTGAGTTACAGGCCTGTGACTTTTGTGTCTAAAAAAGACACCAAGTCCTGTTAAATTTTAAACACTGACAGCAATTAAACCCCATCTTCAGGCCCAGTAAAAGATGCCAATCAAAATAAACTGCATTCTTGAGACACTGGGCCAGAAATTAAAGCTATTAAACTCCTCAAGGCCCAGGAACTATCATGGAACAGGTGGGTGTATGAGACTGTAGGAATTGATTCTGAGAGATAAGTTCAGTTTCTCTACAAATTAATCATCAATGTCAAAGACACACTGATGTAAGATGAGCACATGGGCCCCTGTGCCTGATTAGGTTTTCTTGAAGCATTAACTGACTCCTTAGTAAAGGTTATAAAGCTTATAAAAGGCTTATGGAAGTTTTATCTTATGGTTAAAATTAAAATTTTATAGTTTATAAAATTTTGAAAATCAAATTTAATTGGCTTCATGCTGTTCTTATTCAGGCTTATTGTTTGGAAAATTAAGTCTCCTTTCCCAAAGAATGAAGGTATTGCCTTTTTAAAAAAAAATCTTTTTGGTTTTTTTTTTTTTAATCCTTGTGTTATCATTTTGGTTTTTTTTTTTTTAATCCTTGTGTTATTTTGGTTAAATGAAATGACTTATTTTACAATGACTTGTGATCCTATTTTGTGATATCAAGTGTTTTAAACCTTGGATATTTGACAAGCTTTCCAAATCAAATTATAAATTATGTCTTTTTCTTACCTAATTAATCCTTTAAGATATTAGATTCCCTAAAGTCCAAAAATGACATATTTGACTTTGGTATAAAAATTATGCAGAAAGCGTTGTCAAATATAAAATGATGTTTAGTTTTCTTTGGGCTGTATTTATATAAATATGGTATTGGTATGTGTTCCAAAATTATGAGAAACTTCCATAATTCTGATATGACTTAATGTACATTATCAGTAATAATTATAATTATGTTAAATTATTGCGTGCCACAGACATAACCAATTTCCTTGTCAATTATGTCTTTGACTATGGCTGCCCTAAAACATTTTGTCATCCACAGAAAATTGTCTTATTTTGGTCCTCTTTAGAAGGGGGTTTTATAATCAGCTATAAAACCCTTACAGGTGCTCCTGAATGCAGGTTTCTGATAACTTTGGAGATTGTGACATCAGAATAGAGGAAAAACTTTCAGGACTCATGGAGAGCTGAAATGTTCATGAATATTAAGCAGAACAGGAATTAACTGCATGGACTAAACTAATAGAAGTCTGAAGTAATCTTTTTAACTTTTTTTGTTTAAAACCTGCTCATCCTTTGGTTTGTTTTTCAGAGTCAGGAAAACTTTTAAGCTATTTACAACTTTTAACAATTGAGTAATGTATACTCCTATGAACAAAATTTGGAGCATATTCGTGTTCTCTCTGATTTTTCCAGAATTGGGAAACTATTGGAAACTATTTGTATTCTTAACTTATGGCAATACAGTTATTTGCGTATAAGTACAATAAGAATCTGTTTTCATTTATAATAGGACACAACTGGAGAAACTGGTTATTTTTCAAGGCTTAGGCTGGAATGGTGTGCTTTCCTTTAAAGAATCAAACTTGACTTATGGAGCCTATAAAAGCCTCTTGGGAAAACTGGCCTCATACTTGTCTACACAGTCCCTGTACAGGGTTCCTGACCTGTGGTAAGTAAAGAATATCACTTTCTGACAGGCCTAGGAGCTCCAAGTTTTATCTTAGAACCTCAAGAGGAGAGAATCACCCAATTCACAGGTATTTGATGATACATATCCATGGCTGGGCTTGGTTTTTAAAAAGTCTTATCTGAGATTCCTTCTATTGATGTGGTGGCTCATATCTGTAATTTCAGTACTTTGGGAGGCCAAGGCAGGAGGTCATTTGAGCCCAGGAGTTCAAGACCGGTCTGGGCAACATGACAAAACCACGTGGTTACAAAAAAAATACAAAACATTAGCTGGGTGTGGTGGTGCACCTGTAGTCCCAACTACTTGGGAGGCTAAGGTTGGAGGATTGCTTGAGACTAAGAGGTTGAGGCTGCAGTGCCAGTGATCACACCACTGCATTCCAGCCTAGGTGATGGAGTGAGACCCTGTCTCCAAAAAAAAGTTGCTGTTACCCAGTATTAGTTATGTAATGTAGCCTAGTGGTATAAACCTGCCGCTGCTACCATTTTTACTCTCTGATGAACTTTGGAATCATTTTATCAGATGATAGGAAAACTTCTATTGACATTATTAAAAGGAAATGACTCTCATTATATAATATGGCAACATCAAATCTTTACTGGGATAATACCTCAGCTTCCCATGTATGAATATAGTATAGCCTTATGCTTACTTTTATCTACATCAGCTAATTTTTATAGCTTTCTTCATATAAGTTCTGAACATTTATTTTAATTATTAAAATTTGATGCCATTTTTTCTTTGTTATGGTGGCTACATCAGTAACCAACAATCAAGTAAGTGATTTTTTTTAGCTTTTCTAACTGGTTAATACTGATTCTATAAGGATACTGTGTTTTTAATTCATAAACAAAATCTAACTTTCCAGTGGAATATTGCATGTTTTAGTTATTTTCACATATATATTTTCTGCCTTTTAGTCATTACCTGCCTGTTTTCTTTTTATTTTCTTGGCTTCATTGGCTAGAACAATGTTAAAAATTACAGATGTAGAAGTAAAACACAGAAGTACAATGGTGTCTATGGATGTGTTTTCTTGTAATTTGACAGAAAGATTCTAAAGCTCATTTAGGAGTGCAAATGAAAGCAGCAGACTTTTCCCACTAGGTATTGCAACATCAATTGGATACTGAGTTTTACCAAATGCCATTTTGGTTTCACTCCAGATAATAATATCTTTTCCTTTTAAACATGTTTGTGATGTATTTTATTACAATCATTTTCTAATTTTAAATCTTCCTCACATTTCTGGAATAAATCAGGCTTAGTTCAAAAAAAATGTAACAAAACACTAGCAGTGTACTGGAAGGTTCAGAGTTTGCCATTTGCCTTCTAAAGGGAGATGAATCTATACAGATCTTTAATTTTTTCAGTATTTTCTAGGTTAACTTCCAGTATTTTGCAATGTAAGAGGACTCAGAAGGCTTGGCATCTGCTTTGTACTCTGCTATACTACCCTAAACAAATGAACTAATGGAACTGCCACCCACTGAGAGAGGAACTATTGTGGCTTTTTTCGCTTTCCCAGACACTGGTAGGAAAGGATAACTATAGTGTGAACCCTGAAAACCTGAAATAGATCTTAGTTAATTTAGAAAGGTTATTTTGCCAAGGTTGAGGATGCACACCCATGACACAGCCTCAGGAGGTCTTGATGACATGTGCCCAAGGTGGTCAGAGCACAGTTTGGTTTTATAAATCTTAGGGGGACATGAGACATGAATCAACATATGTAAGATGTTCGGTCTGGAAAGGTGAATCATGAATCAACATATGTAAGATGTTGGTTCGGTCTGGAAAGGTGGGACAACTCAAAGCAAGGAGGGGGCTTCCAGGTCATAGGTAGATAAGAGATAAATGGTTGCATTCTTTTGGGCTTCTGATTAGCCTCTCCAAAGCAGGCAATGAGATATGCATTTATCTCAGTAAGCAGATGTGTGAGAATGGGAGGCAGGTTTGCCCTAAGCAGTTCCCAGCTTGACTTTTCCCTCTAGCTTAGTGATTTTGGGGCCCAGAGATATTTTCCTTTCACATTTCCCCCCTTTTGTTTTTTTTAAATCTTTGGGAGAAAGCATTTTAGAAGGAAAAGTCTCTGGGCTCAGGTTTCATCTTATCTCTCATGGCTAGGGTGGTTTGTTCCAAGATGGGTAGGTCCTGAGTTATTAGGAAAGCTCATTTTTAGAAGGTCATGAAGTCTTGATGTCCTATGAAGAGAATAAAGGGGAAAGAAGGGAGAAAAACAACAACAAACAAAATAATCCTGGAAAATCAATACAGATCACATTACTCTGAAGTTTATACATTAGTAGGCAGGTATGAAAGTGGCTTATGAATGTAAATAGGTTGTTATTTTCTTCTGAGGTTTAAGTTGTCTAGCTTTAGTTCACAGGTCTTCATGAAAGCACAGCTTAGTTTTCAGTGACTTCAAATTAGGAAAAATGGGGAAGAAAGAAGAAAAAAATTGAAAACATTATTTTGAAGACTTCTAGCCAAGAAAAATTAGAATTCGGTCCAAACTGTAGAAAATATTAAAAATTGAAAAACATTAGGCAAGACTAGAATCTAAAAACAGGTGTACTATAGTTTTTGAAACACAATTTTTCTGTCTGCAGTTTCCTGTACTAAAGACAAATCATGCTAGGACTGGTCTGCTTTATTATACTTGGCCTAATTATTTGTATACCGTGCAGCAAGAATAATTATTTTTACATAGGCTTTTAAATTGGCTTTGAATAGCATTTTTATTCAGTTATCCTATTTTATGACTTTATCTTTAGGGAATTAGATGTACAAAACATATTTTTACAAGCATATTTTCAACCGTTACATATAAGGGAAAATTGGAAATAATCTAATATCCAAGAACATGGGGTTCGCTAAATGAATTATGGTTACCTTAATATTACATATAATGTATGATACCATAGTAACTGTAAAACTGCAAGACAGATATATAAATACTATATAAGAAGAAAACAGTGCTGAGGTAGGCAGATCACCTGAGGCCAGTAGTTTGAAACCAGCCTGGCCAACATGGTAAACCCCTATCTCTACTTAAAATACAAAAAATCAGCTGGGCATGTTGGCACACGCCCGTAGTCCCAGCTCCTTGGGAGGCTGAGGCATGAGAATCCCTCCAACCTGGGAGGCAGAGGTTGCAGTGAGTTTAGATTGCATCACTGCACTCCAGCCTGGGTGACAGAGCAGGACTGTATCTCAAAAAGAAGTATCAAATTAAGAAGAAACTTCAATCTTAATAGAAACTGTAGAATCTCAATCATTCATATCAAAGGTTATGGTTTTACAAAATGGGAAAATGCTATGTGATCGATACTCATGGCTACAGAAAAAGGTGTAGGGAATGCAGTTCAGATCTGACGCTCACTGACGGCAGCTGCAGAGGCGACTGAGTATAGACATGGGTTCTAGTAGAAGGGCTTAGAAATGCTTTGTGTTCCAGATTTGTAAGTGTGCCTTGTGGTGTATATGAAGTGTTTAAGATATATTAAATATGTAAATATAACTTAAAAATTAAGATATTTTTATCTATAGTTTATTATAGTTTTAATATTTAGAAGAATTTAATCTGTTCAAGAAAGATGCAAAACATTGATCAAAGAAAGCATGTTCCTGCATTTATAAACTGCAATAATGAATAACAGATGTTTATACATTGAGCTTAAAGATTTAAGAAAAACTAGGTCTTGAAACAGAATTTGATTGAATTGAATATCAGTTGAAACAATCTGAGGATGAATTTCTTAACAGACACAAGAGCTTTCTTAGACCTTAAAAAAGAAAACTCTGTTGTCACTATAAAACCATTAAAAAATCAACTTGTGGAATAAAATATTCACAATATAATAGTTCTCAGCAAATCTTACTTATATGGCAGGTGCTATGCTTATGTATTATCTAAATTAATCACAATAACAACCCTAGGAAATATTGCTAGCCAGATTTTTTTTTTAATCGAAATGAAGTGAAGAGACAACCCACAGAATGGGAGAAAATATTTGCAAACTATCCATCTGACAAGAGATTAATAACCAGAATATATAAGGAGCTCAAACAACAGGGAAAAAATCTAATAGTCTGAGTAAAAAAATAAGCAAAAGTTCCAAATAGACATTTCTCAAAAGACAGACAAATGACAAACAGGTATATGAAAAGGTGCTTAACATCACTGATCATCACAGAAATACAAATCAAAACTACAATGAGCTATCATCTCACCCCAGTTAAAATGGCTTCTATCCAAAAGATAGGCAATAACAAATGCTGGTGAGCATGTGGAGATAGGGGAATCCTTGTACACTGTTGGTGGGAATGTTAGTTAGTAAAGCCACTATGGAGAACAGTACGGAGGTTCCTCAGAAAACTAAAGATAGAACTACCATATGATCCAGCTATCCCACTGCTGGGAATATATCCAAAAGAAAGAAAATCAGCACATCAAAGAGATATCTTCACTCCCATGTTTATTGCAACATTATTCACAATAGCCAAGATTTGGAAGCAACATAAGTGTCCACTGATGGATGGATAAAGAAAATGTAGTACATATACACACTGGAGTACTATTCAGCCATAAAAAAGAATAGGATCTCATCATTTGCAACAACATGGATGGAACTGGAAGACATTATGTTAATTGAAATAAGCAAGGCACAGAAAGTCAAACTTCACATGTTCTCACTCATTTGTGGAATCTAAAAATTAAAACAATTGAACTTATGGTGACAGAGGTAGAAAGATGGTTACCAGAGGCTGGGAAGGATAGTGGTGGGTGGTGGGGCAGGCGAAGTGGAGATGGTTAATGGATAAAAAAATATAGTTAGATAGAATGAGTAAGTTCTGGTAATGAGTAAGGGTGACTACAGTCAATAATAATTTATGTATTCAGTACATTTAAAAATAACTAAAATTATAACTGAAATGTTTATAACAAAGTGATGAATGCTTGAGGTGATGGATAC